AGTAATTTCCAAACGAGTGTCGAAGGGAAATCCTGAATTACTTCGGTTTTGCTTTACCTCGGTTCCTGATTGGCTAATAAAATCACGCCACCCCCTCAACCAATGAGATTCAAAAACCAACCGCGTCTTGGTCACTCACATTTTCCCGCCTTTTGTGGAGTTTGCTTGTTTTAACCGTGAGTTCTCATTGGCTCTTTGCTCTTTTTAATACTTTACTTTGATCTGATTGGCTAATGGGGGGTACCGGTACTTCAATTTTGCTTTGACCGCAATCAATCGAAACGAGTTTTATCATTTTATTTCTTTTCCGCATTTGGTCTAAGTGGACTGACTAGACAATATGTTGTCTTCCAGGGAGATGTCATAGCTTTAGTGAGGAAAGTAGACGCCAACTGGTACGAAGGAAGAATTGGTGACAGAAAAGGCATAGTACCATCAAGTTACTTAGACGTTTTTAGCGAACCGGAAGTTAAAGGTATGTTTGTTCTTGAAGAGGCAGCTCACTATGTCAAATTTTTTTGTTTTAAGAAGTTGGGGCAGGTTACTATAAATTTTCGTTTGAATAAAATACGGCTGCAAGATGTTTGGTGGAAATCGGATACAACAGTGAATATCGTCGTGAGGGAAGCTCTTACCAAAATTCGTCAAGCCACATACGATTAGTTTTTGGAGCAACAGTCAGTTGGCTCTTGTATTTAATCGGGAACTGCTTTGGTTTTGCTTTTCTTCGTTCTATGATTGGTCAAAAAAAATCACGCCACTTTATCAACCAATCAAATTTAAAACTAAACCCAGTCGCGTCTTGCTTGACGGCGTTTTCCCGCGCTGCTGGCTGTTGACTTATTTTTACTTTGATTTCTCATTGACTTCTCAACCAATCAAATTCAAAACTAAAACCAGCCGCGTCTTGGTTGACCGCGTTTTCCCGCGCTGCAGGAAGTTGACTTATTTTTTACTCTGATTTCTCATTAACTCCTCAACCAATCAAACTCAAAACTAAAACCAACCGCGTTTTTGTTGAACGCGTTTTCCCGCGCTTCACACAGTTAACTTGTGTTTACTTTGATTTCTCATTGGTTCCTCAACCAATCAAATTCAAAACTAAAACCAGCCGCGTTTTGGTTGACCATGTTTTCCCGCGCTTCAGGCAGTTGACTTATTTTTACTTTGATTTCTCATTGGCTCCTTCTGATGTCTCTTTATTGTGATTGGTGGTTCAGATTTTTTTGGTTTATATTTTACGACACTCAATGGACATGCGCTCCATTTAAACCTGTTTGGTTGAAAAAGCATCACGTCCGCTCTGATTGGTAAAGCTGTCGTTGCGTACTTCAGTATTTGTGTTTGGAAAGTTAGTCAAAATTGAAGACAACCCTAAAGATCGTTTGGGATTGTTTATCATTAAAATGAGCTGGCAGTTAATCTTTTAATCATGACAGACCGGACGTTTTGTTTGTGGTATTCACGACTGCTTTCTTTCATTTTCCTGCAGTCATTCGTCAAGAACAAGTGCAACCAGTTCAGTCAGTCCGTGTGGAGCAGGTAGTTAAATTTTTTTTTCATGTCAACTTGTAAATTCTCCTCGCTGGTTTCAATAGCTGTCTATGAATTTTAGTCGTGAGAATTTTTACGTCCGTGAGGACGCGATTTCTGAGGAAGTTTGTCACCAGTAAATTGTTTTTAAATGTTAGGAACCGGATTTTGGAAGACCAGAACCTAGTTATGATCACAGACAGCAGCAGTCCAGAAGGTGAGGGTCGGAAATCTTCCAATTCATGACTTATTTATGGTGACGGAGAATACCATGTTGAGGTTTCTTTTTTATTTGGTTCTAGTTCCTCGGGGGCTATGTATCCAAGCCAGGCTTCTCCTCCCAAACACACGCAAGTAAAGTACATCGAGGAGCCAGCGGAGCCTCGTTTTAGTTCTGGTGGTGTGGTCGCGCATGCAATAATTGATGAGCCAATCACAATAGGGCACGAGCAAGGAGAGAGGTATGGTAATACCGCCGCTGTTACTGCCTATAGGTCAGACTTCGACACATGTATGTTGTAACGCAGCGCCCTGAAGCTGGTGAAGTGATTGAAAGAGCGCGTTCCAAGATAATTATTGCGGTTTACTCTGTTTCACTGTTTTTCAGGTATCGTGCTTTGTACAATTACGAACCCATAAACGAAGACGAGCTTCGACTTGAAGAAGGTGACGAAGTACTCGTTCTGGAAAAATGCGATGACGGATGGTTTGTAGGCACATCTTCAAGGACGCATTCATTTGGAACCTTTCCTGGCAACTACGTTGAGAAAGTCCATTAGTGGTGAGTTATGCCAATGTTTGATGGAACTTTCGGAAAATTCTGGTAGCTACATTTCCTTACATTTTTCATGTGCTTCGGTCACCATTGCCTGTGTTTAAACTTCCAGGCGACGGCCATTTTAGTGGTACACGGTTGATCTATCGGGCACAGCCAACCAGAGAGTAGGATTTCCTTTGCAAATTAGGCACGAGCCAGTTACATGACTGGATTAGCATCCAAGATGGCGACTCAATTTGTCACGCAATCTTGTCACCTTTACCATTCCTTGTCACCGTTCTAGTTATGTGTTTCGCGCTCGTTGGCTCGTAATTTCCCCACTCTTATTAGCGTTTCCTTTTAGTGGTTCTCTTTTTTTTCGCCGTTTACAATGTTGAATCGTTTTCGTGCTCTTTCCTCTGGTTCATGTTTACACGGGCTACATTTTTAAGGCGTTATCTACTGGTTACGGTTTTCCCACAGCGCGTCTTGTCGCCCTCCAATCTCATTTGATTTTTTTTTTCAACCTTTTTATTTTCGTTAAATAATTGCTCTCCTTCCTCTGGGGGTGACGACTCTGGCATTAAACAAATAAAGCTATTCGTTTTGTTTTTAGAGGGAGAAGATCAGCGTCGAAACAGTGATGCCCTACCCTCTCAAATGGGAGCTATGGCAGAGCTGTTTATCAAGACCACACCCATGCTATACAACGCCCTATAGCTATCCGTCCGAGCTGAAAAGATGACACTTTTATTGATCATGGTACTTTGAAGTTTATATGGATTTTATATATATTTTGAGAATAAGTTGCTACAAGATGGGTTTATCTTCTAGTTCCGTTTTTGTCATGAGAACTGTTTTCTATCCCACATTTGACAACTTTTGTACAGAGCTTTTATCACCAAATTAACAAGAAGTGTAACTACCTCCAAAAGTATCGCAACATGAGTTTGTCAGACGTTGCACGTTTGCGACACTCAAGTCCTGTTTTTTTTTTTTTTATTTTGTTGCTCTTAATTCCATAGAAAATGAGGCTATTTTAATCACACTTCTTAGATACACAGAAGGAATTTGTATTTAGGTATTATTATCAATTAGGTATGATAGGAAAAACAATGGTTTTTTTTTATAACATTTTAGAATTAACCCTTTTAATTCCCATGAGTGACCAAGACAGAATTTCTCCTTACAATATCAATACAATATCAACCAGACAAGTGATGAGAATAAAGAAAAATATAAATTTGGGGATAATTGGTTGATCCAATACTAAATTCTCTGAACTAACATAAGAATTGTTTGGTTAACAGTAAGGAGAATTAGATGTTAAGGGTTAATGACGGTATCCGAGTGACTACGCACCTACCCCTCCCCTAAACCAACAAAAGTCAACTGATACCGGGAGGGGTAGGTATGCAGTCGCTTAGATACTGACATTGATCCAAGCCTTTTTATCAACTTTTGATTGACCAGGAAATGGAGAGGAGCTTGATTTTTTAAAATTATTTTCTTTCATCTGTACTTCTTTCCTTAGTGTAGATGTTGCAAAGTTTCCAAAATAGCGACCCCTGTTACTTGCTTTAGATAGTTAGGCTGACCAATGCACACACTCTTTCCCCAAAACTTTGTCTTCCAATGGTGAGCAAAGGCCTAGGAACAAGATCTTTTGTGACGTTGTTTTCATGTCAGAGTTATGGAGTAGAATTACAGGGGAAAGCCATAAAGAATTACATGATGCAAGTAATTAGTGAGTTGTGAAAAAGAATTTTCCAGTGTTTGAGTCCTTGCTGAGGAAAGTTCTTTTTTAGACGACTCAAACTAACCCCTTACTCTGCAATATTTAGAATTGGAAAGGAAATAATGTAGAACTCAGCATCTAAATCTCATTTAATCCTGTAACCACTAAGATTAATAAGCAGCTAATTTCTTTAAACATTATCACCCTTGATTCAGACATTAGGGTCATGATAATAAAGGAAATGATCGCTCTCTCAGGAAGCTCTTGATTGTTAGACAATTCTCGTGCCAACTAAATGTGTAGAGAACAGTATAGAGAACTTGCACACTGATGTTAGTGTGTAGGGTTAATTTCAATGCGGTCTGATTTCAACCTGCTATATTGTTTACAGTACAGTGGATCTTTAATAATGAAATACAATGCTGCAAGTCACTGCATGCGATCAATTTTAACTACAATAACTCTGCATCACTTTTAGGAAATAAAAGGCTGATTTTATAAAATATATTGTCATTCAGTATTCATTGCAGCCCAACAAAGATGCGCCAACATCTTTAATTTGTTCAGTGTTTAGTTTTTATAGTCACACCTTATAAAAAGCAGAACAAATTTCTATCCTGACTCGTTCCCGTATACAACATTACCCAAAACACTTTGCGCTTTTGCATCCGGACTCGTCCCAGTTGCCTTTTGTAGCACACGGCACGTCAGTTCAAGAGATTGAAAAGAAATGGTTGATACGAAGGAGAGAGAAAAACCAACCTTACCCATAACACTTTTCGCTATCGTGCGGACGGCGAAATAAAGAAGACTGGGAACCAATCAATCCTCCTACTCCTTTAATGTATAAATGGATGTCTTACAACAGTCGTGGCCCTCTTAGATTTAAACGCCAGGATTAAGTCAATCTGCTTATCTGACAGTGGCTTCATGTTCTGTAATAAAAAATATCCCATGTCTTTTGCACCAGCTCGAAATCGTCATTGATTTCTCAGGTTACGCTTATGTCCGAGGAAGGAGAAAGGAACGTTACGTGACTATTTGACGAAAATTCTGCACGTCACGCGCAAAGCATGACCTATCCACCACCTTGCAAAAACCTACAGGTTGCTAACGGATGTTATTTTGCAAAATGTGTCCACTACAGACATAGCTGAGTCTATACAACCATCGAAATTCGAATGAGAGAACGCATCACCGCAAGCAACCAGAAGCGGAGAGTTACACAACGCAATGCATCCGGGAGAACCATCAACACCGCGTGACACTTGAGAATACCGCCATCTTAAACAGCGACTGTTCACGGGTTCTGGAAGGTCGGGAAGTATTTGTTTCACGTGTGATATGATAATCTCTTTAACATCATTCATGTCCATCTCTAAATGTTCTATTCCAAATGGCACGCTTGTGTGTGCAAGGAGAGATGGGCCGATGTCTTCGGGATCTGAAAGAGAGATTATAATGTTGGCAATTTTTGTAGTTCGGTGTACACGAATGGCTTTCATCGTCATGATGCATCCGGCCCCGCGCGCACTTTATCAAAGATCTAACAAGGGCCGTATATGATAGCGTAGGCGGGGCCGTAAAAAGCCGTACGGACTCACGTGCTACCAGCCAAAAGAAAAAAATATGCTGTACAACACTTATTGACTGAGTAAGGTCAGCCCGACAGGAAAATATTTGGCTCTCGGTCATGACACATGGACCTTGCTGCACCAGGTCTGTACATCAAGACCTCAAGCCAAATATTTTCTCGTCTGGCCTTCCCTCTCATTCAATAAATACTCATTATTTCCTTCGCGCATTAGATTAAATGAGGTATAACTATCAATTAGTTGTGAATATGAGCACATGAAACGCATTTTCTGGCGGATCGTTTTCTGTTAACGGATCAAACTCCAGTACGTGAGCTGTTAATCGACACTTAAAGAACCAATGGGAACGCTGGAACTGAACTTTCCGAGGCTGTGAAAGTGGGTGGGGGGGGGGGGGGGTTTGGATGCTTGTGTGGGTATCACTGTTTTCGTCCAACTCCTCTCTTTAAAACTTGACATCTTCAAGTAATGAGCGTGGCTTCTCAAAAATTACATCGTTCAAGACCTTTTTTAAGGTTTAAACTCATTTACCTTTCCCAAATCTTTTCCTCGAATCCACCGATAAAAACCGTACACACGGACTGCCCGTTACATACTTGGAACACCACGGCACGTCAATTTTGACTCCTTGTTCAAAATACATGGCTACGGCATACCGCGAAGAATACTGTACGGCTTCCAGGAGTGAGCGTTGGCTCTCGAGGAAATCTTGAATGGAACCTTTCAGATTTAAAAGTTGTGGTGTAGGAATCGTTACAATAACGGAATCGAATTCACTTGTGTTGTCCTTGAGGTCGGTCACTAACCAGAGTTTTGCGCTTTGACTGATGTTTTCTGGGTTTTCAAATCTGTTTATTGCAGTGCAATGAGTTTCATAGAAAACGCTGGATTCTGAAAATGTATAGAAAAATAAACATTAACCCTTTAGCTCCCAAGATCTTATTGTTACTTCTCCTCTCTAGCTGATGGACATTTCCTTGGAAATTATTTACGAGAATTTGGTGTTAAATCACAATAAAAACTTCTCCTTGATAAGTATTCTCGTTACCTGTCTGCTGGATAATGTAAGGAGATTATGGGGAGAGGTTACATTTTAATCACATCTGGCAGTTAAAGGGTTTAGTGTGTTTCAATATTGGTTGCAAATTTGTCAAAATATGCTGGACTAGGTTGAAAGGTAAGAATGTACCTACAACTTTTTCCATGACAGTTGACTTCATAATATTCTTAATCTGCTTTAACCTTTTAACCTCTAAGAGTGACTTGCATCTAATTCCTCCTTACAATATCACCACTGAATCACACATTAATGTCATGAGAATAAAGGAAATGATCACCAACTAAAGAAACTCTTGATTGTTGGACAAATTCTCCTTATCAGCACCTTAGGAAATGTATAGAGAACAGTATGGAGAATATGAATGTTGATGTTAAGGTGTAAAGGGTTAAACACTCTTAAGTGTTTACAGAGTATCTCAGGAAAGTTTGTTGAACAACTTAAGTTGTGAGGCTGATTCTGATTTTCACTACAGGGGGAGGGGCAGGCTTGATTTTCAGCCTGTTTTGAGTTCAACAGGGCAGAAGGCCTCCATCGTAGCTGGAAATTGGGTGAGGTCCATACAGGGACAGAGAAATATGCTTAAAGAATACCCAAGGAAAATAAAAGCCTTAGGCAAACTAGCAAAAGATGCACAAATTTGGGCAACAAATTGAGCCATGAAGTACTGATGCAATAAATCAGACTCTTCCACTTTTAAAAAGCAAAAGGTCCCCCCTATTTTAAAATCAAATTATATTTGAACTAACCTGAAGAATTCAGAAAATGTTTGACTATGGAATTCATCCCTGACGGTGCTGTAAAGTTTTTCATTCCTTCCTTTTTGTTTTCTCCTTCTATGATTCCATTAAATGGCACCAATACTTTTGCTGATATCAGTTCCTGATAGAAACTAGAGCAAAAAAGTTTTAGTTTCAAAACTGATCACTTGACAAAGCTTTTGACAAATTTTCTACATTTGTCCACCAAAATTTTTGATGACTCCCACGAGTAATTAAATTCTTGCACATACTGCTAAGGTAGTATCACGAGCTGCCTGTTTGTTCAAAATCTGTAGAAAATGTGTTTAAAGAGAACTATTTCATGCAATACAGTTATTCAGTGGCACAGTAACTATAGTCATCAAAGACTTGAACAATGACAAAAAACTCACACAGTGCACTAAAGGATCATTTCCCAGGGATATCAAAGAGAAAGAGGAAAGTTAACCTCCCAGTCCCAGGGATTATTGAAGCCACTTTGTATTGGAAAACCTCCAGCTAAGATTCTGAGTCAAATAAAAAAGGAAGTTAAAGCCTAATTGTCTTCCATATAATTTCTTCCCATGAGAACTGTTCTTAATACGACTTTCTCCATAGCCAAAAATGAGGATCACCTATCTGAGCTAGGGGGGGAGGGGGGAGGTGGTTGGGTAGGGACAAGTCCAGTCTGCTTAAGAAATACCGTAAAAAAAACCATCAGTGAAACTGATATGGGTGGTGTAAACCACTTCTCAGGTAATGTTAGGGGAGTATCACCCTCCAAAATGCTCAAGGAAGTTGGAAAAACACTGCCATGAAATTTGTTAAGGGCCAGGTCAGGATGGTAAAGTGGCAATTGTTAACACATTTGTCACTCGAGGCTGAAAATTGGACTCAGGGTTTCAGTAACTTTTTCCTTATACTGCTTTTGATAGTGTAGAATGTGGCTATGCCTGGGAAAGGGGCTGGAAGGCAAAACTCAGACTAGAGAGCCTGCTTGAAAGCTGATCAGACAATGGTAAGAGGTCTTCTCAGCAGCAGTAGACTATCTGTAACTGGTTTCTATTAAACCCCCTGCCATACTTGGTATTACTGATTCAAACCACCCTGCAGCAAATAAGGATTGCACAGCAAATATGGCAGTGGACTACATTAGCTCTTGAAAAGCTATCAATACTCTTTCCTAGTATTTCACCATTCAGCAAGTTCAAGGAAGGGGCTTCATATAAAAGTGAACATGGATCCAGGCTATTCTATTCCAATGGGTACCTATTTTAACCCAATGGACCCTGGGGTTGACTAGCATCTAATTTCTCCCTACAATTTCAGCCCTGAATCTAACATTAAGGTCATGAGAATAAAGGAAATGATCACCATCTAAAGAAGCTCTCGATTGTTAAACAAATTCTCCTTGTCAGCACCTTAAGAAATGTACCGAGAACAGTATGGAGAATATTAGCGCACTAATCGATGCTAAGATGTAAAGGATTTATTTCCTGGTGTGGTTATGCAACAGCCTTCTATTCGAACTAACTGCCGCTAGACATACTATTTACTCAGCCTAAGAGGATGTGAAAGTCTGTGTACCTCTTGTGAGATCTGTAATAATCCGGTGTCGCTGTTACATATTGTGCTCCAAGATCCACGGTACAGCGTGAATCACTTGCGCTTCTGTTGGTATTCATTCTCCCCCCTGCTCCGCGAGATTTCTCCCAGAAAGTGATATTCAACGCATCCTTTGGAAACTTTCTGCGCAGCAAGGAAGCTGTAACTGACCCTGTTAGCCCTGCACCGACAATGAGTAATCGGTGAGGCGAAGGCATCTTGTTATCAGCGCTCATAACAATATTGCTCTGAAAAATCAATTATTTTGAGCTTGGTTATGTTGTATAACAGTGCACGAAAAGTCGTCAGGTAGTTCACAGCCAGCGGTCCAGTCAGCGGGCATTCCCATGAAATTATGAACACAGGGAAGTTTTGGAAAATGGACAGTTATACAAACTCGTGAGGTTTCTATAAAAAATCTCGGCTGATGGCCTTGATTTGCGCTTAGTTCTTATAACCATGGGTCTCTTAACACTAGAGAAACCTTGAAGTGTTAGCTCTAGTTCCAAAAGGATCGCAAAAATGCAATTTGTTCGAAAGCTTGTTGGTAAATCCGGGCGACCGGTTCCGAACATTCATCAATCGAGCGAAGATGAAGCTTTATCGTTGCGACATTTACGAAAGCTGTTCATGGAATTCCTTCATTCACCTGTGCCACTAACTGTTCCTGAACAAGAGTCTAAGCTGTATATGATGCTGCCTTTGTTTTGCAAAGTGTTCGGCCACGCTAAACCCAGTTGTATAACAGAGAAATTTGGAGATGTTTGTCAATTCGCCGCGCACGTCTCTCGGCTTATGGTGAACGAAATTCGACGAAGAGCAGCGAATCAACAAAAAGAAACAGCTAGTAGAATGATCATTGAATTTCTTATGCGTGATTCTGCGGAGGATACTGTATCTGGATGGACTCTGTTGAACACGCTGAATATTCTTGCTTCGGCAGATACCCCAGTAGTGGAATGCATGGTGGCCGCGAGTTTGTCTTCAAACATGGTCAAATGTCTTTACTTATTCTACGATTTACCCCCTATAGAACAAACTAGTGACAAGAGTAGTGAAGATATGGAAGATGATGCTATAACAATTCAAAAGTTGTACACTCAAGTGCTGGTAAAATTATGCAATTATCACGCGACTTCCAGGGAACTTGTTCACACAGACGATCTGGCGTTGCTCTTTACTGCAATATCGTGCCCGATCCCAAAACATAATGCGCAGTGGCGAAGCTGTGTGTCGGAAATTCTGATGAGTTTAACTCGCCATGGTTTGGACCGAGACGTAGTGCATTATATTCACAGTAAGTAAACCAATGGCAGACATCGATTAGCAGATAATTTTGAAATCGTGCCAGTCGTTAATAGGTGTATTGTTTTCTTTAGAAGCTTCTTTTATTACTTCTTTCAATTTCTAACTTGTTTTGACGACGATCAAAATGTTTTTTTTTTCTTAAATAATTAAACATGTTTTTGTGGCCATGTCGGTTTCGAGTCAAGAGCGTTTGGTTAGCTCTACATGTAGACATTAAATTTTTAGACTTGAAGATTTTATCTCAGAAAGTTACAATCTTTCAGTCTGATTTGAATGTATTTTTCTCATCGTTTTTTATTTTGTTTAAGCTGTTGTTTCCACGAAAGAGACCAAATTAGGAGGAAATTTTTGATGTATCAGTTTATATAAACTATGTATAAAATAAGTGTTTGTACGAGAAGTTTCACCAGAATCATTTCAGTAAAATATAAACAAATAAATACTGATTTTTTTTTAGAAAAACCGTTAAAGAAAATGCTCTTTGTATTTCATCTCGAATATTTTTCTTTATTACCAAAAGCTTCCTTGTCAGTGAATGTTATTTTCAGAAATTATTGCTTGGGCTTTCCAAGGGAAATTCCGGCTTGGTTTTTTTTTCGTTCGGTCGCAAATCGCAGTCAAGTTCTCATCACGCATGTACAACCTTTTGAGTCTGACGCATGCGCGATGTCTTGACTAATGAGCACACAGGATGGTGTAATGGCGGACGAGGAGAAGCTTTCGCGGCGCAAAATCAGCACAGACACTGTGTATGAGACGCTCAAAACGCATACAAAATATGCTCACATCGTTCGCGGTAGACCCACACTAAAATATGTCGAGCGTTTTCGGAATGGGTCGGTCCGTGCACCATATGAGATATCTCTTTATGATTGAACATTTATGAGTGAACCTTTCATCGAGAAACATGCTATATCAACTGAGCTATCTTATGTTAATCGAGAGAAGCATAGACGCAAATCTCATCGTGTATGTAGACCTGATCGTGAACCAAGCAGAATACCAATACGAAGTTTGAAAAGGTTAAGGAACAAGAGCAGAAAGGTCAGAAAATTTGTCCATGCACGTATTCTTCCATGTATCCTTATGTCATCTACATCATACTGTTATTTTAACGCTAAAAAACTCTGAAATAAAAAGACATTTATGTTTAACTGTCGTGAAAGAAATTTTCAATGTATATGAAAGGTTAAATATCGTGTCAATCGATATTTAAAATTGTTTTCTTGTAACAAACTGATGTGTTCTTGCAAGAGTGAGGCTCGTGTAGCAAATTATTGCAACTATAAATTAAGTAGAGACAGAAAAAAATCCTGGCCTTCCAACATATGTTGACCCTAACAAAACAACAGTAGCTCCATACAGTCAAGGTAAAGAGTTAGTTTTTGGACAGAATGCAGGACAAGAATGTGTTGCAATGAGTTTGTGTTCTTTGATTTAAAATGACACACAAGGGATCAGCTCAGCAAATGATCTTATACAAATATTGAATATTGGAAATCAGCTTTATTCAAGTTTGTCACGATTAGCCAAACAGGCATATTTAATGCAGTCAGAATTACCAACAGCATTAAATGTGTTTGATACTGATTATCAACTGGAATACAGTGAAAGCTACTCTGGTACTGTTCACCAAGAAATTGCTGTAGAGGGATATCAGTACTGTACATCTTTACAAAGAGCCTTTGAGTCGCTTATATTTGAAAGCTACACCAATTTCATATTAACAGTAGGGTGTATTACTGTAATAGTAATTTGGGCTTTAAAATATTTGATTCTCATGTTAGAGATTTGTATGGTAGAGGGCAGCCTCAAGGTACATGTGTTCTTCTTGAAGTACTGTCTCCTGATAGTTAAGTGCATTATTTTCAGAGTATACATAACAATGATATATTTGAAGTGAGAGGAGTACAAATTGAGAATATTCAAAATAGGATGGTTTCTCAAAACAGTCTGAATGAAACCATAAACTTCAATCTAAGTTGTGCTGTAGCTCTATACTCTCTTTGCTACCCTAAAATGAAATCATGTAATTACTAGAATTGCAACTCATCCTTACCTACCATTGTAGACAAAGGCAAAAAGATGTGTCATAAATCAAGTTTAGAACACAACCAGCAATCACCAGTTAATCTTCCAAGAACTGTAGATGTTGGTGAAACTGAAGTAAATTTGGATAATTTGTTTGAGAGTGAAGGACTAATAACTGATTCACTTCAAAGCAAGTCAATTCTTGAAAATGAAATAATACATAATAGTGAATGCACAGGGTTTTTTATATAATTTTCTTTGTACTGCATCAGTTGTACCTCTAAACCCACAAAAAGATCAAAATATATGTATTCCCCCCTTGCTTTATTATAAAAGACACGTCCCCTATTCAGTACACTAAACACATAAATGGAATGGCTTCACTTGTTGATGCCATTAGAAAAATACTAGAGAAATATAATACTCTAGGGCGATACAGAATACTGTTTGCTGCATGTTCATGTAAAATATTTGACAGAAAGGAAAGAAAAAAATTGATGATTAAACATAGAAAAAAAAACAATACTATAAAGCAATGGAGCTAGCAGAGAAAAAAATATCATTGGAGAAAAAACAATTTAGGGATATGAAAATACAGAAAAAACTGTCCCAAAAATACAAAACAATGGATACTGGGTAATCAGTATCTTCAGGATGCACTAGCCTTGGCTGAATGCATTGAATATCACCCTCTGTTTGTGAGGCAGTTCTGAATTTATTTAATAACTCTGTAAATGGTTGGTCATCCTTTTGTCTCATATTTTTAGTCAACTCTATCATCTTGAAAAGTAGCTAGGAATGGCACAAATTGCAAACATTTTTATATTCTTCAAAGACAAATTTTCTTCAAATTGGTGGAAGTTAATACAAATCACGTACTGTAATAATGCTAAGTCCTGCAAATAGACAGTTGTTTGATGTTGACAATATTTCTTTTAGTTTTTGATGGATGTGCAGTTGCAAAGTATTTGATACCATAGACAGTTCATCAATTATTATCAGTTTTAAATCAGACTGAGACTGACAGTGCCAGTCTCATTTGTGTTTTCTTTTGGTCTGACATTGGTGTTATATTGTCACCTTATTCTTTAGGGATTGCATACCAAGAGAAAAAACAGTTACAGGATAAAACAATAATTGCATACAAACTTAGGCAAATGCAAGCAAAAAAAAAAAGTTTATTTCCAACAGAAAATCCAGGTGAATGCAAATATGTGTCTAGTTTTAAATTTGTCTCTCATTCAAATGCCCTCTTGAGATTTTGAAAACATGAGATGATTTTACATGAAATAATCCTTGAATGAGGAAATGCAAATTTTAACTAAAAGAACAAAACAAAGGCATGCACCTCCTAAAAAGGGAAACATAGTTTTGTTTTTGAGAAGAAAGAATTTTGTCATTGATAACATGAGATTATCCATGTATAAATTAAGATAATAAATTTAAAAAAATTGAATTTTTTTTTTTTTTTGTAGGGAGCACATGAATTTATCATTTTCATGTAGAAATGAAGCATATAGTAGGAATAAATGTTGTAGATTGAAATAATCCTCTCACTCTAAGATCTCATTAAGCAGTTCTCCTGACTGTCTTGCCATATAATTCTTAACTGAAATTTCCAAATTGATTAATTTTTTTTTATTTTCATTGCTTGTCTGCTTGGTATTGTCACCCAGAGGAGTTAAATGGTTAAATTTGTGTCTAAGGAAATTATTTAAACTTAACGTTTTTTTCTCTAGGCAAATCATGCTTTGCACAATGCCTGATGAACATGCGGAAGATCCAAGAAGTGAATCCTTTGGAGTCAGTAGAAATGATTGCAACACTGGTTTGTTGTCTGAAAGACTCATCAGCAATTTCTCATTATTTATTGGTTGATTTTCAAAGGTGTCATGGCTACCTGTTCCTGTTAGAACTGCTTTTAATGCTAGGAGAGATGACAGAGAATGAAGCTCGTGAAGCCTGTAGGAATGTTGTTCTTCTTGTTTCGTCGCTTGTCATGATTGGTCATGTCACATTGAGACCTCTTGTCAGTATTGGTGGCCCGTCCCAGGATCCTGAATTTCAAATTCCGAAACCAATTGGTGGAGGTAATTGTAGTCCTCTAGACAGTTATGATCAAAGTTAAGAAGGCAGTGTGGCAGAGTAGTTAGAGGACTGGGCTTGTGATCTGGTGGTCCACAGTTAAAGATTTCAACTCTGTTACTCACTGGATTTGTTCTTGGGTGTCTCAAGTTCAACTCCATGCCTACAATCTGTATATCACTAACTGGTCTGCCTCTGGCCAGTTTGGATTTATATTTAACAAATAGAGAAGCCTTGGCTGTGCTCTGTTCTGTTATAAAGCACGCAGGAAGCAGCTAGAGCACGAAAGAAGTGTAGGGAGAAACACGAGACGTAGTCGAGTGTTTCTCCCCACTTCTTGAGTGCTCTAGCCGCTTCCTGAGTGCTTTATAACAGAACAGAGCACAGCCAAGGCTTCTCTATTTGTTCTATAATAAAGAATCCATAAAATTCCCCGAGCATTACTTTCAATTTTCAAAACAAACTTTATTTCCAAAGCGAACAACAGTGTCGTCAGCATGCTCTATACTCTCATAAAGCACGCTACAATAAGCCAATCAGAATCCCTGTTA